GCGTTTTGAGGATATACAAAAACAAATAATGAATTCGAGAAATTTCGATCACGCAGGGAGAAGGACGATTCGTACGCTACGTGAAATAAACACTAAGGCGATTACACTACCCTTCTCGTCTTTCTTGCATATACACGTCTTATATAATAATATATGCAATGCTTTGTCTTGCATACCTGTAAACAATTAGTCCAAGTCGTCCCGCGGACTTCATCGGGCAAGTTGTTAGTACGATATGGTCAATTTGACTTATGACTTCAGACAAATTGATGTTTATGACCCATTTAAAATGTAAGGTAGCATGAAATGCTATTATGTGCGCGTGTTCGAGTACTACCATATCATTCGATTCTTGCCACAGATAGTTTATGTCATATTGTCTGATATTTGTTACCAAATCTCTTATAAACAGAAATCCGATGGAATGAATAGAAGTTTGATATATGTCTGAGAAAAGCGTCTTTCGCGCATCTTCTTCATCATATGAATATTGTGTAGGTATATTCATAAAAATGTTATATGATTTGTCATATACTACTGTTATATATAAGTATTCTTTTATTGACCCTTTGTCCCAGCTTGGAAACAGTCTTCGTATTGCATTTGACGAATATAAGTTCGTGACCATCCACCTATCGCATTTGAAGAAGTAATCTTAGATGAGGAAAGATTTTCAGCCGTGTTGTAACCTACATACATGACTGATTGATATTGATGACTACTTTCATAAAGGTAGCATAGAAACGATGTATTATATTAACAATATGTGTCACCACATCTTATATTATATAAACTTTATTCAAAGATTTCAGCACATCATATACTCTGCTGAAAAATATTTTTTGTAATAATCCTAGTAGAAATTTCACGCAGTTTGTAAGCAGTTACTGAATAATTATATTAACGTTTGCTCAGTAACTGACGAATAAAACTGTTGGGATCCCAATCAAAATGTTACTGTGCACAAAATGCACAATATCTGAACTCATTTATTGACCGAGAACTGAGCAATAATTGGACAAAGAAACTATTCAGTCGATTAATAAGCAAATTTATTATAGACAGTTATCATAAAATGGACAGTTTATTACTCATAAAATGGACAGTTTTGTAGTAATAATGGATATTGTGTGCATGCTTGCTTATTGTACAATTTTAATTTTTAATAAAAGTCAGTGGAATCGTAGACATAAAGAATGTCTGATTTTTTGTAACAAGTTTCAAAATATAACTGAATAGTCCAATATAAGAAACGTATTTCTTAGATACTATACTTTCATTGGATAATTTTTAGGTTACTTTGCCAACAAAAAGTCGGACAACCTTTATGTCCACAATTGTACAGGAAATCTAAGGTGCTTTCTAAGATAGTCTAATATGTTTTTGTTGCAATACAATTCCATATCATTAATATATAGCCTATTTGTCGTTTGCTCATTTTCAACTCTAATCTTACTTGTCACTTCTGCTATAGCGTGTTGTTTTGTTAAATTCCAGATTTCCTCTAACTTCCTT